ACACACGCACACACACACACACACACCCACATATCTATTCGTCTCTGACGATCGTCCGTGCTGCCAGCTGCCAACCGTCCATTGTCCCAGCCATTAGAGCAGTGCCACGTAGGACTGATCCTGACCGTTGCTGCAAGCTCGCTAGCGTTCGGTCGGCGGCGCATCTGTGCACATGCTAAGTTTAATTACTTCTTGAACTTCGTCATGACCCTTACACGTCATCAAATCAATCTTCCACTGTTCGTTGAGTTTCTTAACGAAGGTGGAATGAGCAATGTGCACTTATAGCAGCGCTGCCAGATCGAAACAGGCACGTCTGCTATGGCAGCTGTACCATTTAGCGATCCCGACGGCGCACAGTGGTTGCCAACTAAGAGCGGACACAAGGACCAGAGATGTGCAGCAGGCTGTGGACAAGTGAAAACAGCCTGCTGCACATGTGTTTGTACGATGCCTGAGAGTGCGGGCCTTCTGGGAGTGGTGGGCACAAAAGATAGCGGATAAAGCGTCGCTTGTGGTTGGTTACGGAGGAGGAGGCTGCGGCGATCCTGTTGGGGGCATGAAAATGGACAGGGCAAAACCGGAGGATCTGATGGCAGCTGAAATTTTGAGGGCAGCGGTGCTGTCGGGCTTGTGGAAACTGAGGAATGAACGCTGTACACGGTACCTTCCCCCCGCTGCAGGTTTACCTGCAGCGGGGCACTGGAAAATGTTCGGGTGGCTCTCCTGGCGGACTAGCACCGAAGCAGGAATACCGGAGAAGGGAAGCCGGGACGGTTGTGGGGCAGATGGAGTTCATACCCGCAGCTGCTCGCCCGGAACCCCCAGACGGGCCCGTATGCTGTTCGGTCCGCTGCTGCTACGCGGAAGGCACCGGCAGATATAGAGACAGAATCTGAATAGGGAGTCGAATCAGTAGATTAGCTAAGAAAAGCAGCCGATGCGTATAGTAGTTAAGGGGGTGGGGGGTAGGCGCTAAGTAGAATTAGATAGTTGGGTGTGGTAGTTGTATAATAGTAGGGGGAGGGGATTAGAGGAGGGGAAGTAGGTCTAAAGGAAAAGGGGTTGGGTTGGGGGGAGGAGGGGTGAAAACATTGGAAAGTTTTTTTTTTTTTTTTAATTCAAAAATAATTAAAACGCTATAAAGCGTATAGGTACTATAGGAACATTAAAAGATAGTGTGGGGTAGAAGGCGCTGGGATGACCAGAGCTACCACTTTGAGGACACTGATGTTGAGTCCCCTAAGACTGTACACACGGATACATGGAATTGTCGACATAGGCTTTAGGAATCACGGGACACAGATCGCAAGTGATACTAAGTCACATGGGGCTACAGTAGCTAAGACAAAGGCTCAGAGGGACAAGAGGGGTTTTGCGTACTGTTTTGTTTTGTTTTGTTTTGTTTCCCCCCCCCCTCCCCCCCCCCCTTTTTTTTTTTTTTTTCAGAGGCAGCCGGATAAAATGAGACTTGGACAAAGGTAGACAAAGTTGTGAAGCGATGACAAAGCAACTTGCGGGTCTTGATAGGCGGCCTGAGGAACTGCAGGCGAGGCCCCTGCCGGCGCCCCGCCCCTCTGACGGCCATCCTGCTGCGTGTCTGGGTGCTGCTAGTAAGCCTCCCAGCCAGCAAGGTGACCCCCAGAGAAAGACTGTGATTTGGGGGGGTGGGCCCCCTTTTGCAGGTCCCCCTTTGCTGGGGGACCAGTGCCACAAGGGTTAGACTGTTCCCCTTCTCTGATCTGATCAAATTTTTTTTTTTTTTTTTTTTTTTTTTCTCTGATCTGATCTCTACCCTTCCTTGGATGTACAAATTATTAAATTATGCTTGCCGGTGATAAGTGACCGCCGACCGGACTGTTGCCCTCCAGAATAGAAGGGGCCTTGTGTTGTTCGAAAAAAAAACTGGGCAAGCAGAATTGTACCCCTCTTGCATTTAGAATCTGGCCTGGGACAGGCAAAAGAAGTGAACCTGACGCGACTGCAAACTGTGATGCAGAGGCCAAAGCAGCGAAGAGAACAAAAGGTCAGCGTAAAAGGAGGATGAGGAGGAGAGGTTAAAGGAGGAAGAGGAGGATGTCAGAGCAAATTCACAGCAGCACTGCCGCAGATTGCGGGCGTAATTCTTATTTTCTCATAATTATTAATTACCAGAAATATCATTTTTTTGAAATTTCTCAAATTTTTGACTGCAACCATTACTCTTACAGAAGAAAAAGTTTTCTGAAAAAGTGAATATGGATATATACGTGAAAACCAACGGAGAACATTATCACAATAAACAGTGGTGATGATTACATAGAACATTAGCGACAGACGGCGATAAATAATTATCATCCCTTATCATCATTCGTGTTAAAAACTAACATTACTACATCAACGATCGATAAAATTATTGTCAGCAATGTCAAACCTTCATCAACAAGGCACCATGAGAGAAGTTGTCTTCATGTAGCTGAAGCTATGTTCCTCCGCGCTATGCGCAGGGTAGCACGTACCGCCACCGTGACTTACTTCCCATTTTTCCCTCCTCTCTGTCACAGCTGGGTGTTTACCTCCCCCTTGTTTCCTGTTGCAAGTCTGCAACCACCTCTGCTTGTCTATTATTACCTCTCTCTCTCTCTCTCTCTCTCTCTCTCTCTCTCTCTCTCTCTCTCTCTCTCTC